GTATATTTGGTTTAATGCGGCTACTGGAGCCGAAATGATTAAAGCTGAAGCCGTTAAGTCTTACTCGATCCTACCTTACTACAAGCGGAGTAAATTGTCCCTTCGTACCAAGGTGATTATGTACAAAGCTTACGTACGTCCGGCCATGACTTATGCAAGTGGAATATTTACTGACGCGGTTATTGCTCGCACAAATATGAGGCCGTCAGCGCAAAAGTGGCCTAAGCTTACCACAGTTAGTATGGAGATAATGAGGTTCGAATTTACCTTTACAATATTTCGTAGGCAAAAAAATACGCGTTAAAATGATGCTTACAAAGGCATCTGTTATCTATGGATGAAACTGAGGATAGGCCAATTTTGCATCAAAATTTATTATGTTTTAAATAAATTGCAATTCATAAGCACGAATATGAATTGTGGGTTAGGCCACTTTTGCGCTGACGGCCTCATATAGCCTCTTATCGTGACCGCCTCCAAACACATAACCGACCCAGGCGACGAGGCAAAGCAGAACCGCCGTCGTCTTAACCATGTCCTATCAGATACTCTCGGTGCTTATATTCGAAGCACCGGTCACGATTCTTGTCGAATGCGTCGAAGAGTTCGACGTGCAACCTAGTCCATAGATATAGCTAATTTTCTCGCCGGATCTTCTCAGTGGATGGCGTTTCCGATTTAGTGGTAGATTTAGCGAAGCGCTGCTCTTGCTAGGGCCAGTCTGTTAGCAGGTTCCCTCAGATTGGGCGGCGTATTTAGAATTATCTCGACTATTGGGTATGGAAAAAATAAGAAGGCGGTAAGCGCTAGCACCTACGCATTAAAAGAACTCCATAAAGTGTTCCTCAAAACACACATACACACATATATTTTTATTTAAAACTTTTTTGGCTAAATACATTTATTTTCTTGCCAAGAAATATATATTGGCCAATCAAACGATCGAGTCTGACACTATGTTTAAATAGATTTGAACATTTTATAATCGCGTGTCAATTTCACAGCAAACTCGCGCTATGGTATGAAGGGAATCTTCGTTGCGGTGTAGCGAAAACGGAGTCTCCAGTGTGCTTAGTGCGAGCTTGTAAACGTTCTCGATAGCGTAAAAGTTAGCTCATATTTGTATGGAATGGGATCGTTTGTTGGCGCTGGGGCGCTGTTCCAACTGCATACAAAATTGGCTTAACTTTTACGCTGTCGAGAACGTTAATAAACTCGCACTAAGCACACAGATGTTCGTCAATATACATGTTGAAGTGCTTCTTCGCCAGCGCGTACTTGGAATAGACCCTCACCAGCAAATAGAAAGAAAATGCCTTTGTGGATCCCTTAGGGGCTTTGATACTAGAGGCGAACCGTGACTGTCCTATGCAGTTATTAATGTTCTGTGATTTTAATTAAAGGTTTTAGTCCTTAAGATAATATGAGGCTGTCGTATTGTATGTCACCGTTATTAGTAGCCGTGAGCAATGCATAACTACGTTAAGCTCGTTGTGATTAAGGACTATTTTCCAATGAGTTATCGAAATATGCACAAATTTCAGGGAACGTCGTAGAAAAGCGGTAGCAGCAACCGGAAGCCAAGGTTCACTCACGAAGCAGTTGCTCTTGAGTTCTTAGGTCTCCTTGGAGGCGCTCGGGCAGCTGTTAACAATCCTATCCCACCTGGTTGAACGGTGTTTCCCGAGCGCTACGAGATGTCCTTCTTCAAAAGAGGCTTGTGGAGAGTACTAAGCGGTAGGCAGCGGCTTGGCCTTGCTTCTGGCATTGCTGAAGTGCATGGGCGACGGTAATCACTCACCATCAGGTGGGCCGTATGCTCGTCTGCCTACAAGGGCAATAAAAAAAACCCTAGCTCGCTCACATGTCTTGTTGAAACCGGAAAGGCCTTCCATTTACCATTAATTCTTCATTCCTAAAAAAACAGTAAGACGAGAGCAGGATTTAGAAGATTGGTTTTTACCCCGATTCGCTGGTTCATTACGCTAGAAACGACCAGAGGAATATAAAAAAAAACCGCACCGAAGTCTCTACGAATGTGAAAACCAAACCGAAAGAACAATAATCGAAGCGTTACACAAACATGTAATCGACTTGAGTGTTCTGTTGAGCGATGATGAAATTAGCGACAGAAAATATTTTAGTACTATGTCTACGTTATCTGCTCGGGAGTGTGACTTTTTCGCGTGTGACGTCACGAGGCACGGTGCGCTTTCGTGGGCACGGCGTGAGGCGGCCGTGACGCGGCGTGCGCATCACGCAGCCCCTGTGACGTGGCTCGTTCGTTGGACGGAAAACGCGGCTGTTTCGGATCATCAACAAATTTAAACAACAGTGTGCACAGTGCGAGTTTTTTAACAGCGGCAAACGCAGGCAAACGTTCCAACTCCATACAAACTTGAGTTAACTTTTACGCTATCGAGAACGTTAAAAACTCTCACTAAGCACACAGATTATGTTCCTCATAGTCTTATTATATCTTATATAATATATATAATAATATATAATTATATTATATATTATTATATATATTATCCTCAGTAGGTAATTTTTGATGAAGGAAGGATTACTGGTGTCCCGAAGGCCTTTCCAGTTTCACCAGGTCAAATGAGGGAACAAAGGTTCAGCTAGGAGCTATGGGATTTGCTAACAGCTGTCCGAGCACTTCCAAAGATGACCTAACAACTCAAGAGCAGTTGCTTCGCGAATGAATCTACTATTGGATCGGAATCACGACCCGCTAAGAAGATCCGGCTAGAAAGACACAATACTGTGACGGATAAAAGCATTATGAAAAAACCAATCAGAAATGAAGAGGTAGTTTGTGTTGCACGAAAATTGGATTTTTAAATGTCACACGTAGAGGCGTGTTCGAATTTTTACTAGCTCGCTAAAATTGCTTTTCGCCCACGATTTAATGTGTGTACTGGCGCCATTAATCCGCATATGAGTCGTCTATTATCAAAGGCGGCTATCTGTGCATTTGGACAAAAATTTTTTATTGATATGTCAATACAGATTGATTTGAATATAATCGTCTCCTTCAAAGAATACGGTTCAAAATCTGCATTAAATAAAGGTTAATAGTTAACCTGTTATTTATCTAAGATGTCGTTCCGAAGAGTTTTGTGACTGCCGATGGAATACAAAGTCAATAATTCGTTTTTCTGATTTACCAATCATTGTCCAAAAGTCAGATTGCCGGCTTTGATAATAGTCGACTCATATATAGAAATAGGCAAAGACGAAGCAGTTAAGCACAGTTTTCTTGTCCGTTTGTCACTGATTTGGTTCGGAAGCACGTGCTATCTTTTGTGTAAACAATTTTATTTTTTCTAACCGAATTGGTACTTCCGTTCCCAATTTTTCTCTTTAGGTATGTCGATCAATTTTTTTTTTGGTAGTTTTTAGAATACTTTATAAACTATATTACACTAAATATGTAAGTATAACGCTTAATATATTTTGTATAATTTATATAAAAGTTAGATTCGTTTCAAAACATCAAAACAAAAAAAAAACAAAAGACAACATGAATCTAAATATTGAGATGTCTATGCTCGATTATCGAGCGAATGATAGTATTCTTTATGATAAATAAAATAAGTACATACATATACCTATATTTAGAACATATTTAAAAAAAAAACTTTATCATTTAAAACCTTTAACTTTTAAAGGTTAGCTTACCTATTAGTTTTAAAAAAGATTTTTCTTAGACGGAATCACTCACCTGTCTGTTATTCAGTAAAAAGAGAGTTCAATTTTGTATAGTATAATAATAATACTGTTTAATTTTTTATTAATTTTAAAACATTATAGATTAAGGGCTTTAAATGTTGTTTTCTACATCACAGAAAACAGAATCAAGTCTTTTATTGTTCATTCATTCTGAAGTATTCCATAACATTACGTTTTTCAGAATTTCTTAGAAAATGTAAATTAAATATACGCAGTCTCTCGCCTCTTCTATGATAGATAACGAATGAGAAGTAGATACTGTCTAATTAATATGACTTACTCGTATATTTTCAGTTTCTTACAGATTTCTATCTCATATTTCAAGTTAGGTGACGCCATTACGTTTATAAGCTCATAAAACTTAACACCAAATGGGTAGAGAGTTCATTCATGTAGCTATTAAAATAAAATTTATCTCATAATATTTGTGAAAAACGTTTTAAAATTACAATTACACGCAAAAATGTTTTGGCAACATTTTCGTAGGCGCGTCTGATGTAGGTAATTATGTGACAGTATTGTTGCGGTGTCCTCAAATAGTTTGCTATTATTGAAAATAAAAACTTATCAATTTTGAATTACGTATAAGTGTTTCGCCATTGCTAAGTTGGCCACTGATATAATTCATAAAAAAAACGACCAAACTTACAATTTGTTTAAAGTTATGGAATGTCACTAGTCTGAGATTGTGCTATTGCGTTTATTTCGTTGGATCAAAACTTAACCAATATTGTTGGAGCTTAGATGTCTTAACGCATATCATTTACAACCGGTTTTTTAAATATTTTTTTGCGTAGATAGAAGAACGGCACTGGGCTGTAACCGGCTACCGGAGCGAGCCACTAAAGTGAATTGATTCCAGCAAATAATTCGATCATCAATTTTGTTTTTTATTGCAATAGTGTTTTTCCTAATGTTAGAATTATGTTGTTGCTTACCATCAGAGGAAACTATACAAGTCCGTAAAAATTGATTTAGTATTTTTTAAGAATGTGACTGCGTATATCAGTAGAGATAAGCCGCGTCGCTGTCATTAAGTATAGTTTATCAGTCGGAGCGCCGAGCCGGGGGCGGAGCACCGCCGGCCGACAGTCGCCCGTCGGCCTTCCGCGCCGGCCTCCCGCGGACCTGCAGCCTCTGCACGCTCCACCAAGTTTTATCTGTTCTTGGAGATTCTACCATCGCTCGGGCTCGAGCCAGTGTAACAGTGCGACAGTGCGTTGTGTAAAGTGCGTAACCAGTGAATAAAACCAGCCGTGTAGTACAAAACGTTCAGTTTAATTTTTTGGAATCATATCATCTGCTACAGTAACAATATATTAACTTACGAACTAGCAACTACTTAAGTAGTCATATAGGACAGTCTTAAAGATGAGTACGGCTACTGGCTAGGTAACGATCTCGAGATCTGGATCACAGCGGGGTCGCGCGCCGGTCACTGCGCCGCCGCCACCACGGGCCGCACCGGCAGCGCCACGGGAGGAGATGGGAGGAGCCGCAGCACTGGAGTCAGCGGTGCCTTCTCTTTGGCGTGCCTCTTGACGTGCTTAGCGAGGTGGTCGGAGCGCATGAAGCGGCGGTTACACACGCGGCACTCGAACTTCTTCTCGCCGGTGTGCGTGCGCTTGTGCCGGGACAGCTCGTCGGAGCGCGAGAACCTGCGCTCGCAGCCGGGCCACGCGCACCGGAACGGTCGCTCCCCGGTGTGCGTGCGGGCGTGCGCTTTCAGGTGTGACGACTTAAAGTAATTTTTCCCGCATCCGGGATACGAACACTCGTAGAGTCGGCGCCGGGCGGCGGGCGCGGGCGCCACGAGCCACAGCGCCGCGGTGGGCAGCAACGCCCCCGGGACTAGGACTGCCGGAGCTGGTCTCGGCGCCAGCGGGACCCAACCCGGGGTGGCGGCCGGCGACGGGGCCTGGGGGACGCGCTGTTCGTCTCTTGTGTTTTGTTTCGGTTGACATTCCAGGTGGGGTGACGGTACGCGAGCTTCTTCAATCTTCGGTGGGGGACTGGGAGGTTGAACGGCAACCGGAACGGGAGAAGACGTTTGGCTCGCAATGTATTTGGTTTGTGAATAACTGTGTCCTCGGTTCATTTTAAATTTAAGTGTCTTGAGCATGTTCATGCCGTGCGCGGGCGGGGGCGGCAGTGGCTCCGGACTGCAGGTGCCGTCCTTGTGGGCCCGCATGATGACCGAGGGCCTGTAGCACGGCTCCGGGGGCGGCGTCGTGAGAAGCAAGCGCTCCAGCTCGCATCGGGATCGCTTGCTGAACTCGTCTTCTCCTTCAGAGTCCGAGGGCTGGGGCGTGACCAGGCCGGCGGGCGGCGACGACGACTCTCTCGCCCGTTTTGCGGCAATCTTTTTGAGAGGCAGCTCGACCTGTGAGACAAGATATTTGCACATAAGTGAACGTCCACCGACACGGCGCAGCACGCGCGCGCTGCGTGATCGCGCTGCGTATTCTCCTGCTGTCATACTTTCCATTGCACTGAGTTAGAATATTTGTTAATTATTTTTTTTGAATTTTTTTTTAAACGGTTAATTAATAATAGGTTATTTCTAGTCTTTTGGAAAATACGTTTATTTTATTTCCAAAACTACTCACTTTATTTTCCATCAACGGCGGCGTTGACGGCGGTGAGAGGGGTCCGCAAACTTCGAGCAGAGTGGACATTCTGGTTAGAATGGGAACATTCAACAGATAAAAACTTTCTTTTTAATTCACAAAACTTGTGTTATTCGCTGCGCGCTTCCGCTCTAGGGAGGTGTGTAGACTGGCTAGCGAGCGACAGACGAATAAACCGCTTCGCGCGTTGTCGACGGACGAAGTATGCGAGCAGCCGGGGCGCGCGGGACGAGACACCAATGGGAGCGGACGGCGCGGCTCCGCGGGCCAATCGACGCGGAGTGATCACGCAGGCGGCTCGTGGTCGCGCGTGTTCTTCACGTGCACACCGAGTGACGGACGGCGAGGCCGCAGCGTGACGTCATCGGCGCGCCCCCGCGTGACGTCGCGAGCCACGACAAGGTCGCCGCTTGCCGCCTGCATCGCCAACAATCAACGACATTCGGTCTGCAACTAGGTTTACTATTTTGACGGTTGCGGTCGTCGACCTCGATGTGCGATGGCTTGGGCCCGGTCCGGTGACACTTTCCAGTTCCGGACGCGACCTGTGTGCTCAGTGCGAGTTTTTTAACGTTTTCGATAGCGTAAAAGTTAACACAATTTTGTATGCAGTTAGAACAGCGCCCCTAATGGCAAACGTAGGCAATTTTCTTTTTTTTTTTTTTTTCCTACCTAAGCTGATAGCCCTAGCGGCTATTTCAGCGTAACCCTAACTTTAGTAGGTGAGCTCACGGGGCTCAAACCTGACGATGTTGCTAACACGAACCCTAGCAAGAGTCGTGCTTCGCAGAATCTACCACCGGATCGGAAACGGGACCCACTGAGAAGATCCGGCGAGAAACTCAGTGGGCTGTGTCTGAGAGTTAGCAAACGTAGGCAAACGATCCCATTCCATACAAATATAAGCTAACTTTTACGCTATAGAGAACGTTAAAAAACTCGCACTAAGCACACTGTATCCACATAGTGCCAAGAGACGACATAATGCAACACGTTTAGTTACGTTTTTACGTTTTCTTTGGTGTTGGAGTGCGATGAACTCATACCTACGGGTAGGAGCTATCACATTGCCTATTGTTGCCGTAAAAACAATTCTCGTTACACGATACATTTAGGCCTCATGTGTCAAGGCGAGATGCGGTAGATATTTAACCGAGCGAAGCCGTGAGCTAGTCTGTCTGCCCCACCTGATCAAATAAAAATAAATAGTTACGTAAATTAGAAATTAAAAAAAAACACGTCTCAATATTCATATCGAAACACGCATAAAGCACATACCAATGATAACGGTTTATAACAGTTAATTTGATTTAAATTACGCATTGCATTAAATGCACGATACAGGTACTTATTACACGACGACATTCTTGGTGTAATATTGTTTGAGTTTAAAAAAAAAAAAAAAACTACCACTATGTAACTGGTGGTGGGACCTCTTGTGAGTCCGCACGGCTAGGTACCACCACCCCGCCTATTTCTGCCGTGAAGCAGTAATGCGTTTCGGTTTGAAGGGTGGGGCAGCCGTTGTAACTATACTGAGACCTTAGAACTTATATCTCAAGGTGGGTGGCGCATTTACGTGGTATATGTCTATGGGCTCCAGTAACCACTTAACACCAGGTGGGCTGTGAGCTCGTCCACCCAACTAAGCAATTGAAAAGAAAATTTTCCATATCTGCTTTTATTTTGTTTATTTTTCCGCGAATTTATTGCGGAAAGATATTTCTCCAAATTAAAATTAATATAAAATAACTGGCGTTCTACTATATCAGAGGAGAAAATGGCGGCTTTAGATTTAAGTTATTTTGTTTATTCATGCAATAATGTGATATAATAAGTATAATAACGGATAAAATTGTGCGACTATTATAGATAATGTAATTGTTCAATAATATAATTATATTTTCGAATAGGAGGCGCTGAAAAAAGCGGTTGTTCGGGAGAAAATGTTGGCTCCCGCCGGCCCTGATAATGTGTAACGTATTGCTTAATATTTTATCTAAAAAAAATTATACTCCAATTTATGTGAGACAAAAACTAATGTTTGTGTTTTTAATAATAATATATAGGTACAATGCTTCACGGGTCAGACAGGGCCGCCATTTGCCTAGGCCTGGTCTAGAGAGACCATATCAGCGTAACCTTAACTAGTAGGTGAGCTCACGGGGCTCAAACCTGACGACGTTGCTAACACGAAACCCTAGCAAGAGGTGTACTTCGCAGAATCTACCACCGGATCTGAAACGCGACCCACTGAGAAGATCCGTAGAATCGGCCAGAAACTCAGTAGGCTTATAAATACTAATGATAAGTTAAGATCTCTTTTGTACATTTAAATTGAGCTTTCTCGTTTCAATTCTTGTGCATAATGATGAAATAAAATAAAGAAAATAAAACTATAATTTATTGTTTTCTTCAAACTATCTACCAGTTTTTCAACCTATCAACTCAAACTTCAAACTATCTACCACTTTACACACATGCGTAACTATCTATTGATAAGGAGCAAGTTTAGCTTATCACACGTTACACAATCTAACGGGTGCTTGGAGAGTTTTAAAAGGGCTGATGCTTGCTGCGTACAAGTACCTACAACATGCCTGATCGAAGATTGACCGCCTTCAGACGTGGAAACGATGCAGCGAAGACGACACTGCTAAAGTTGCAATCCTGGCTGAGCCTTTGCTCGCCCACCTGTCCTGGTGAAACTGGAAAGGCCTCCGGGCCAGCAGTAATCCTTCAATCATAAAAAAAAAAGTTGCAATACGACCCGTCCCAGTTTCATTAGGGGGGTGACTGTAAGTTCAGAGGTAGCGGTAACCCATCAATTAAGACTCCTCGCGCACTAGGCAGCCTGTCTGTGGCATTACATTGTTAATTGGTGGACAAATAGGATTTTTTACAAGTAATGTCAATTTTGAATGAAAAATACGAATTATTGTAAACTTAATAAAAAGCTATCTCTTTCTACTTATGTTATTATTCTGTCTGTAATTATTATATTGGCTAATGTTTCACTGCATGCAACATCAATTTCACCGACTATTAGATTTCCGATTAACTGTGTGTGCAAGCAATGACAGATAATAACTTCGTTCCAATATCCTGACCAGTATCAACAGGACGAAAAAGATGAAATAAAAAGATAAAAGATACAAAATTAAATGTAAGTTTGGTTTGTTATTAAAACGGGGTTTCTTTTTTTAGTTTCTAAGCTATTAAATATATATACATTGCCACGAATTTTGATATCAATATTCCCGCGCAAACAACATTAGATACAGATAATCCTAGGCCTTGAATGAGCCCATAGATTACAAAAACACGAGAATAGCGTCGCACACCTTGACACACGGGGCCGAAGTCCGAGTTGTATTTTATAACGTTTTTCCATCCTATAAGCTGGAAACTTGACTGACTGCTCTGTGGAAAAGACGTATCGTCTCTGTCGATGATTTTGGAAAACGGTTTTTTTGCTTTGGAATATTAAAACATAACCAAAAGCAATGGTATTTAATTTTGGAAGTATGATCCCCGTTACTGTGACTACATAGAACACTACGATCATGCCCCCTACCTGACCGAAAGTATTTACCGATGGACATCAACAATGTCCCCGCAGCCAAACGACTGTCTATGGCTCAAAATGTTTTTCATATCACAAGAACACAATGAAAATTTCTGCTAATTAAAAAAAAAAAATGGCTCGGTACATGTCACACTAACGCCCTGTAAATTTACTTTTCAGTAAAAAAATTTTATATGCATTCCGTTTTATCAAGCTTTTTTTTAAATCGTTATTTCGAATGAAAAGAAATTAAAGGCATTCCGTTTTCTCAAGAAATCACACCTATTAATTTTACTAAATCGTAATATTGACATTCGCAAAACGAAAACCACAATATTAGTCATTCGCGCGTCTGTGTGCGCGCGCGCATGACGCCGTGAAAGCTATTCACGTGAAACGCGCGTGATCCGCGGCCTAATTAACACACGATAGCGTTTTCTTTATGTTTTTCTTTTTTTATTGCTTATATGGGTAGACGAGCTCACGGTCTACCTGTTGTTATGTGGTTAGCGGAGCTTACCGATATCTACAATGTAAATGCTACCACCTACCTTTAGATATGAGTTCTAAGCTTTCAGTACAGCACAACGGCTGCCCCACCCTTCAAACTGAAACGCATTATTCATTCCTGGCAGAAATAGGCAGGGTGGTGGTACCTACCCGTGCGGACTCACAAGACATCCTACCACCAGTAATTACGCAAATTATAGTTTTGCGGGTTTGATTTTTATTACACGATGTTATTCCTTGACCGTGGAAGTCAATCGTGAACATTTGTTAATTTGTTGTGTGAAATACGTATCATTAGAAAAAATGGTACTTGCCTGCGGGATTCGAATACCGTTGCATCGCTTGATACGAATGCATCGAACGTCTTATTCTTTAGAACGTCATGAAGCCATAAGTCGTTATTGCTGAAAAAAAAAATTTAAAAAAAAAACATGATCAGCAATATGATGATTGCTTTTTTTTAATCCGTTTTATTCTGATCAAGATATGAGGCCACGGTCATTAAAGTATTCTATTCTCATCGATCCTTGATACGTTTGCATATTTTTAAGTTTTCAAGACATCTCGAAGTTGATGTAAATTACGTTCAAAGATACCATAGATACATAGATGTATAAAGATACATACACATAATAGGTAGGTACAAATTAAGCTAATAAAAGATTTTCGTTCACACACGATTCTAGATTGTTTTCAATTTTGTTTCTTTTTCTGTTGTAAAAAGAACACAATGTTTATATTTCTCATAGCATTTCCGAACATTCATAACTGAATAAATTCGATAGGTAGTTTAGGGATTCAAAAATGTACATACCACGCAGTTTTTTTAATTAGTATATCTAACAGTACTAAAGTAGAATATTTCATCTATGAGTCACTCATAAACTTCTAAACATAAACTTCACTTTTAAACCCTTTCGCTATAGGTTATTGTTGTAGTCCAGCATAAGATCCGCGTGCTAGCTTGTATTACATTGTGTATACATTACACGGTTGGCCGATGGAATCGAACTCACGACCCTCTGCTCAACAGTTGGAGGCGCGAATTACTACACCCTCGAGTCAATCAGATTTTAAAAGCAAAACTTATCAATAACAAATATTTAGCTCCCTTTAATATTTCTTGCAGAATCAAATGTCGCGGGCGATTTTTTTTGTTTACAATAAAAACTTGCGTAATCTCTTCAATTAAACCACAAAAATACAACCAGTTTTACAACACAAATACACGCGGCGCGTGTGTGCGTCGCGTCGGGGAACACGCCCGGCGCGCCGGAAACGAGATCCACTGCGGTGACGTCACGAGCAAACAACTCCGAATACGTTGAACCTAAAACATGTAAACGATTTGATTTTTGAATATTTTTAATTGCTATTTTCGTTTTGTTATTCTTTTCATTTAACCTAGGTCACATTCAAGGTTATGATCTCAAAGTATTTCGTTGATAATATAGGCAGTTAGTTGTTAGGTAGGTTTTGTTCTGTGTCAATTTGTGAATTTGTGTGCATCTATGTGTTCAATAAACTTTATTTCCTTATGAATATCTTTTTCATTAGTGTTTACTTTGCTTAAATTTAATATAGTTATTGCAGTACTGTCATCGACAACCATGAAAACAATGCATTAGTTGAAGCGTTAGAAATAATCTGATAATAGATAAATTAGGACGAGATTAACCTGTAAAGGTGATTTTAATTATGTCTACAATGCGGTAAAACCGAAGAAAATACTATACAATTGTAATTATATTATTGTGTAATCTCGAAAAATAAAAAATAAAAAAAATAACCTTTTAAGGATAAACTTGGTCATTTAATTTCATACTCTTAGTTTGGTAATGTTTGCACTCTCGCATACCTACCAGTAGATTTCTGTGCTAGAGATATGCTCATAAAAGACAAAATCCTATGCTATAACACAAACAATTTGTGTGATCGAAGATTAATTCTTGACTGTTGACTCAATAGTAGCGAATTATTCGTGTTTTTTTAATTTTGTATTTAAACTGAGTGGCAGTCATTAAAACTGTTTTTCAAGACGGCAATTATAAAAGCACTTAAAATTTTAGAGAACAGGTTGTGCCATCTATTGTGAAGTCAAGAAAACTTTTTTCATGCGATGACTAAATTGTCAATAGCGCCACCTATTTTTTTCAGTGAAAAATGTTATGAGTTTACTTAAAGTATTAAGCATTTGCTAATAGTTCTTTTAAACTAGTATAGATGGCAGCAGCATTTAGTCAAAACTAGTATTTCTCACATTCAGACTTGAACAAAAATAGATGTCTGAAAAAATTAGACCGGTTTCTAATAATATAACTTTCTTCAGGAATATGCTTAGTAAGTAGACAATGTCAAAGATGCTCACAATGTCACCCGAGGAAATTTGTAATTTCAAAGGTTATTTATTGTCTATTTTACGTCACAAACTTTGGATTTCCTTCTTTCATATGGGTACCGACAATGGTGGATTTACACTACGTCGGGGCAAGTGCCCAGGGCGGCAAATTTTTGAAAGTGAAAAAACTTTTTTTGCCTTATCAAGATTGCTCAATATTATTAATTAATTCTATTTAGTAACAGTTTTCTGTTTAATTGATAATTCAATAAATTCAATTCATCTATTATTTTTGAATTATAATCTTGGCACTTTTGGTAAACATTAATAATCAAAATAATTTAATCAATTTATTTCCTTGGAGATTTAAAATAATAATAGAATTTTCAATTTTCTGGAATTCACGAAATTTAATTTGTTTTTTTATTTTATTGATGTAACATAATTATGAGTCATTGTTAGTGCCAAATTTATAATTATTAGAAGAAAAAAAAACAAATATTTATTTATGTTTTTGGAATATATAACAATAATAAAGTTTCTGCAATAAATCAGTTATTTTAATTTTGAAAAATAGAATAGATAAACTATAAGTTTAAGTAAAATTCCAGTATTCGAGTGGATCCTTTTCCGGTGCCCAGGAGTGGCATTATGTTTAAATCCGGCCCTGGGTACCGATAACATATTACGTGGGTTACAAGCATCAGTACCAGCATAAAGTAGAGAAACTTAAGCAATAGATTTAAATATATTTTATTTTTTTATTTTTATACTCCTGTACTATT